TTAACTTAGAATTATGCTTCTAAGTAACATAAAAACTAATTCAGAAACAAGCAAGAACTTACCCAACAGAAGGATTCACAATTCTAGTGTACTCATAACACCTTCCAATGACAATGCTTTCCAGGTTTGGTGTTGTACCTTCACCTTTCCATTTCTTTCCTTGCCCTTCAGAAAGGCTTGTCATAAACAGAAGAGAGAGAAACAAGAGGGACAAAAAAAAGCTGTTCATTATGAATTACTGACAAACCAAAATCTAAAAAAAAAAAAAAGAAAAGGAGAGTTAAACTGTAAAATTTAAAAACAGAAGGCTTAACACATAATATTTCCAATACAGGCAGCAACCCTGTACACAAATGACAAAGTTACACGGAAACCTAAACTTTGCAGGAGAATGTAATCTAACTGTTTCCTGAAATGAATTGCAGCACAAGAGGAGAATGTAATCTGTTTCCTGAAATGAATTGCAGCACAAGAATACATCACTTCCTTAAATCTGAACGATTTCAGCTTCAGAAAAACACAGTTTAAAGATCAAGATGTTGCCCTCTGGTGATAACTAGACAAAATTACAACATAACTTTGTACAGAAAAAAAGATGGGGAAAAAAAAGCTTATCATTTTAGTACTACTTACAATGCCTTAAGTTTGCTGAACACTCATTGCAAGTTACAGGCTAAAACATTGCAAGTGCTTGCAAGCAACGTATTTTAAAGCATTTTTTAAGGGATACACTTTTGTTAACAGATGGCTGAAAGAAATGCTGAAATATGTACCAAGAGGAAAACGACATATAGAAGTAAAATGCTTATTCATAAAAAGTCAGATTTTTCAAGTTATCTTGCATCGCAGATATGGGTAATATACTCTTCTATTTTCCCCTGGATAATGACAGCAAAATTTTGGTGTGATGATAAGCATTTTAACCTATTTTTAGTGAACAAAACTGCCTTGTGAACAGAAATAAATCGTAAAGAGAATCAAAAGGAGTAAGATATGATTCCTGTGAATTGAAGAAATCTCTTCAACTTCCGCTTATGTTTATTCTCCCTCCAACTTCTTTTCGTAAAATACTTTTTTAGATCCTCAAAAGGGATAGATTATTCCAGCCTTCACTCTAAATTTTCTGTTGTCTACAGTGCCGGAAATAAAACTAAACTGCTTTTGCCCGCCCCTTCCTTTTTTAAAACCTCTCTTTTCAACCTCAGCATGACTTGTCTACGGTTTCACATTCCTCAGAAATGTGCTGGTTCTTTTTTTTTTGTATTAAATAGCCCCCATGCCTTAGTAGAATACATACATCTTTATTAATTATGTCATTTATATAGTGTTTTTTTCTGTGTGCATAATCTTGCTAATTGCTGAGTAAATTGCTGATGACAGATCTCTTCTAGAAATGTGATACAAGGGTAACAAATTGATTTGTCTTAACTATATTTTTGAGAGAACCAGAGTTACCCTGAAATAGATGTGCACTGTTGTGTTTAATATACTTGAGACACATCAAATGTGGTACTTCATTTTGGCTGCTTTTGTGATGTTTTTTCTCCACATTTCTTTTGTGACATCTCTGAAACGTGGCCATGCTGGTAGGGGAGCCGCAAAGTAGCCAAATGCTTCCTGCTTCGGGTCCAGGCGTGGAGACCTACAATCATCCATGGAACTCAATGTATGTTTTTTGTTATCAACTTCACTGCAGTAAAGTTTTTTCCATTAGTTGCAGGACTAAGAAAAACCACAGGCATCACTGATGTGGTGTTCTGTACAGAATAGGGCAGAGCTTTTCACTGATTTTTGCATCAGGACTAAAATGTCTGCCTAAAATATACAGTTTGTGTTAGGACAACATAAAAAAAAAGGAGAAGAGTTTTGGAATTGTTTCTCTACAAGGGCACACCAGATTTGAATGCATCAGCTCTGGAAAGATGTGGACACTGCTGAGTGGTATTCTGCAAGAAGACATGACATGTCATGCCTTTTGGGAGGAAATGGAAATGTATCCAGCAGTTGTTGGGATTCCCATCTCAAGCTCTATTGAGCTTCCTTTCCTCACTGGCCTCTTCTAAAAACACAGCATCGGGCTATATGGTTCTCTGATCTAATTCAACACAGCCATTTTTAATATATGTTCTTACTCATAAATATTTTGTGTGATGGTTAATCCAACACATTGCCAGGGAAAGTGTCCGAACAGTTGGGCAGCCATATGGTCGCAGTGTCTGGTCTGAACTTGTCTACCTTTAGCTTCCAGGCATTAGATCTCATGATGCCTTTGCCTGTTATGTAAAGAAGAATCTGGCCTCGGAAAGAGCTTCTCCATGTAAATTCTTGTAGAACATGACCACATCTCCTCTTAAACTTGCCTATGAAAAAATCAACTCTTTAATCTCATTATTTGGCACTTACTCTTGCACTACCATACTCAGTACCACAGATGCCTCTCTCGCTTCCCAACCTTGGCAGTCCATGCTGGACATAGACCACTGTCCTCTAAAGAGGTTGCTGCTCATGTAGCAGTCAGGAAAGCCAGAAGCGTATCTGTTCAGGAGATACTCCACAGACTGCACATTAACTAGAACCACCACCAAATGCAGCACGTTTATATTCCGAAGCCTTGGCAGATGAGGAACAGGCATGTTCTCTCTTGCTATTTCTAGAAGATGGGAGTGATAAGTTCCAGCATAAGGGGTAAGACGGGAGAGAATTAATCTCCTGTATTACTCAGGCATGGACTGCTGGTAGAACCCCAGTCTTGTATGACTTAGCACTTCATGCTGGGAAACTCTACCTTCAATTTGCCTGCACTAACAAGCTCTTCTAAAAGCAAGAGACTTAACCAAACATTGCTTTCTGGAGGCTTTCATTTCTGTTCCATAAATCCTACCAACAGCAACAGGTCAACCTGTGATGAACTCACTGCACAAGAAGCGGTGGGTCCTGGAGCCAGAATTGGCTGTGCAGGCCTGGACGGCAGTGCCATACCTGTGCTTCGCCTTCCTACCCCTCTGCCACCCACAGCTGCCAGTTCCCCTAACTTGCACAAACATAATCATCTTTAAGATTTGTAAACCTGTCAAATATGATTAAGTAGGCTAAGAGGTTCAAAAGACTCGGGGAGGCAGAAAGGGGAAACACCCAGATGGCTCCAGCCTCACTTCCTTAGATGAAGAGATAAGGATTCTTGCGTGCTGCGTGATCAGGGTAACTTCCATCATGTGATGCCATCCTCTCAATTCATTAGCTCCTGCCAATACCAGGAATAATTATGTATTTTACGCCTAAACATTCCTATGTTGAGGAATAAGTCCTAGGACCCTTTGCTTGACATACTACTATCTGTTTCTTTCCTTTTTTGACATCTGCAAGCTCACCAGATTTTAACCTACATAATAGCAGCAGCTCAGATTTTACGTCGCAGTAGTTTTCAGTCAGAAACTCCTGCTATTTATTTTGTCCCTGA